GCAGGGCATGGCAGGGCCGGGGCGGCCGGAAACCTCCCAGACACGGGGCTTGGGAAACCTTGGTCCCTCTGCTGCTCCCGGGCGGGAGATGGGGGAGGACTAGCAGAGCTGGTGGGGCTGGAATAGCAGGGGGTGCGGGCCGGGACTGAGGGGCACTGGCAGAGCTGAGGAGGGGGAGGGGTGGTGGGCAAAGCTGCTGCTTAGGAAGGCAAACTCCCAAGCCTACCTCTTCCGCCTGTGTCCCTGCCCATACCCCCTGCTCTGCCCCCCCTCTGCCCAAACCCCCCCCGCTCCCCACTGTCTCCCTTTTCTCCTTCTCCCCACTCCCTGCTGCCCCCTTCCAGCCAAATCCATGAACCCACATGAAGCAAATGGCATCTGACAGAAAGAAACACTCTTCTGCATTTTTTCCCCCCTAAAATAAATGGAGCATGTTTCCCACTGCCTGCCATGCAGAAGGTACCTATTTAAAAGCATTCAATTTGGGAATAAAAAATGTCCCTCACAGGGTTTTTGATATACCCTGAAGTTTGTCAGAGATTTATGTGCAAAAAAATGTGTAGTAAGGACAAGCCAGCAATCTGCGGACAACAACGTGCTGCGGTGGTCGATGTTCCGGAGTTCAATTTAGCGGGTCTAGTAAAGACCCACTAAATCAAACGCTGAGGGTGCCCCTCTGGATGCTGACATGCCTCAATTTGCGAGGAATAAGGGAAGTCAACGGGCGCTTTTGTTTCTGTCAACCTCGCCCTGTGGAGACAGCGCCGAAGGTCGGATTAAGGTACGTTGACTCCAGCTATGCAGTTAATGTAGCTGGAGTTGTGTATCTTAATTCGGATTTGCAGGTAAGATAGACAAGGCCTAAAAGGTGACTAGGATAGGAGCGAAGGGAGAAAGATTAAATTTAGAGGGAGGGACAGAAAAGACAGGAGACTTTGGAACCAAGCTTTTTGTACTACAGTGATTAATGTTAAAAGGTGTATTTTAGATAAATCCTTCAATAGAGCACCCTTTTTTAAAAAACTCTGACCGAAGAGCCAAGCATTCAAGGCTAAAGAGGAATGCTCAGATTATGCATTTAAATATCCATGCAAAGGATTTTTAGAGGTGGTTTTTTAATAATCTTCAGCAATGCACTAATGAAATATTGTGAAGCACGTTTGAAGCGGAGGCCTGTAGACACGCATGTTCGGAGTAAATCTTGGCGTCCATAATGCACAATGGCTCGTCTGCAATTCCAGAAAGGAACGCGCAGACATGTGGGAGCTGGCAAATGCCTGTTAAAAGGCTTCCTGCCCCCTCAAGTGGCTCGTTAACGGGATAAATGTTCTGCTAATGGCTCTGGCAAAGCTACTAG